TTTTGTGTTGCTTTTAGGAAACAAAAGATGTGGATCACCCCTATGTGAGGTAGGGTACTGTAATGGGAAAAAAATAGCTGAACAAGAAGTCAGGAGATCTGGGTTCTATTATATGTTATGCAGCGAGAGATAGAAAGGATTGCGATCACTTTCCTTCAATAGAACTTATTTGTTCTCTCCACTATAAAATGAGGAAGTCAGACCAGATGACTTCTAACATTCAAGGTTGTATGGTCTCTTTTTATCCTGTTGCTCTATATCCTAGCTCCCAGTATTCTATGTTTTAAAGTCCTTTTCCGTGTCTGTGCTCTGTGTCCTAAACTCTAGCATTCTCTATTCTGTGTTCTGAGATCCTTTTCCAGATCTGAAATTCTGTGTTCCATGTTTGCTATTCCTTGTTCTAGAATCCTTTCCTGCTCTAGTATTCTGGGTTCTATAGATGTTAGGGAATTCCTCCAGAAAGAAATACAATGTCTGTGTTCCCATAATATGACAGGTACAACCAAGTAGGACCCAAACCAGTCAGTGCCCATCCCTGGTGCTTTGAGAACACAGAGGAGCTTCCAGAGGGACTGCCTTCTCTTTGTGTGGGAATCCAACCCAAACAGGAAATATTTAAGTCATCCCACTTAAAGCTTCCTATAAGGCAGGGTGGAGGAAATGTTACATTTGTCCAACTGTGGTGCTCATTTTCTTTCTAAATCTCACTTGGATAAGAGCCCCGAGTGTAGCATGTAAGCTCACCCTTATCAGTGGATGGTAGGAAAGATTACTCATTTTGGAAAGATTGGAAAGTCGTAAATGCCTTTGAAAGTGCTACGATGATAAAATATGAATCAGATCTCTATTTGAAGAGAAAGAACTTTCACGCTTAATGCTTTGTATAGTTTTTTTTTACTGTGTGTGCTATTGTTTTTGAGTGTGTCTTGATATGGGGGGATGGAATAAGCATTTATTAAGTACCTACTGTGTACCAGGTGCCAGGTTAAGGGCTTTATCTCATTTGATCCTCATGACAACCTTGTGAGATAAGTGCTATTATTATCCCCTTTTTGCAGTTGAGAAAATTGAGACAGATAGTGGAGAGAACAAAGTGGAGAGACAGAAGAAGGAATTCTTCTATCTTTAGTGGCATAACATATAGTAGAACCTAAGTCTCCTGACTTCTAGTTTAGTGACTTGTTGAGGGTCACAAAACTAGTAAGTATCTGAGGCTTGACTTGAACTCAGGTCTTCCTAACTCCAGGCTCAGCACTCTATCCATCGTACCACCTAACTGCCAGATTTCCTTCAAAGTGATTTCATTTTAAGTAGGGAGTGGACTATGTTTTGGACCAGCACATATGCAGACCACTACAATATTCCCCAAACATAAACATGGAAGAGGAGACAAATTGCCCAACATAGTACCAAGTATCCATGTCATAAAGGCTTATTTCCACAAAGGGATCACAGGATCATCTATTTAGAGCGGAAAGGGACCTCAAAGGTAATCTAGTCTACCCCCCCTTATTTTAAAGATGAGGAAACTGAGGCTCAGAGGCTCAAAGATATTAAGGGCCTGGCCCAAGGTCACACACACACACATTCAGTGGCAGAGATGAAAATTGAACGCCAGGGCTCTGACCTCCCTAGAATCTTCAAGCATAGACTGGGAATTGGACTTAATGTTAACATAAGTGCAGGAGCAGCTAAGTGGCGCCATAGCACACAGAGCACTGGACCTGGAGTCAGGAAGCCAATTCTTCCTGAGTTCAAATCCAGCCACAGACACTTACTGGCTGCGTGACCCTGGGCAAGTCACTTAACCCTGTTTGCCTCAGTTTCCTCATCTGCAAAATGAGGGGGCAAACAAAATGGCAAACCACTCCAATATCTTCGCCAAGAAAACCCCAAAAGGGGGCCAAAAAGGGGTCATGGAGAGTCGGACACAACTGGAACAACTGAACAACAACAACCAAAATCTTTTTCTATGATTATCCTTTCTATTATTGTGTTTGTCATATAAATTTTTCTTCAGCTTATGCTTACTCCCCTCTGCATTAGTTCATGCAGGCCTTCCCAAATTTCCTTAAATGCTTCACATTCCTCATTTCTTAAGCTGCAACAGTATTCCATTACAGTCACACACCACAGATTGTTCCTTTATCCCCCAATTAGTGGACACTCTCATTCCTTCCAGTCCTTTGCTACTGCATACAGGGCTACTCTAAATACTTTTGTATATACTGGATTGTTGCCTCTGTCTTTGACCTCCTTGGGGTATAACAAGCCTGGAAGTGGTATCATTGGGTCAACGGGTATATAAAGTTTAGTGATTATTCTGGTTTGATTCCAAATTGTGTCTCAGAAAGCCTAGAGTACCCCATAGCTCCTTCAGCAGTACATCAGTCAGCCTGTTTTCTCACAGCCCTTTGCACAATGAACATTTTCATCCTTTGCCACCCTTGCTATAATGTTTGGTGTGAGGTAAAACCCTTTTAGCACTGAAATTCTGTTTTTCCCTTCTAAAATTCTATATTCAAAGATATTTTAAGCTCTAACATTTCATCTTCTGGATTGTCTTCTTTTTCTTTCTTTTTCATCTGAAATCCCTTCTACTCTGGATGTTACTTTTTCTTTTAATCTAATAGCCCTTACTTTTAATACCTCTGAATTTGAGCTTCCTTGTATACAGTCTTTCTTATTTAAAGCAGAATCTTAATTCATACCCCATACTACTGTCACATATTCCATCCATGAGCTAAGAAACCGGTCAAGTGATATTAAAAAATTTATGAAAGAAAATAAAAGTTCTGCAAAGGGATTTTTCTCCCTTTTCCTACCCGCATTTCAGAAGAGAAATCAAAAATCAAAGTCAGTCCCCCAAGTCTTCCAGCTCCCCTAGCACATGCACTAGATTACAACCATGTTCCCAATTAGGAGAATCAATTATTCATAAAGATCTGAAATTTTAATTCCTGTTGGAACAGATCTAGAAGTGTTTCTTCTCTTAAAGTAACCACAATTTGAAGAACGGAAAACAAGTTGGAACTAGGCAAAGGGTTTTAACGTGACCTCTGTCTTAATTGAGGGTATCTTGTTGTTTGGCATCAGAGTAAAGAATTAGAATTTCAGCTTCTCCTAGCAAAAGAGACCTCAGAAGTCATCCATTTCAACCCCTCAGTCCACCACTGCCCCACCCAAGTTGGAATCCTCTCTCCATTGCAATCTGATTCATTTTAAATAGCTGTCAAATGGGCTTTTAAAAGATGATACTAAATTTTTTATTTATTCATTCATTCACCCAACATTTATTAATCTACTGCAAAATATGCAGGACTCTTCTGAGCTCTTTGAGAGATGAATAAGACTTGACTGGAGGGACAGCATGGTAGAATAGAGTCTTAAACTTGAAATCATCCTGACCTCTCATTGGTTCATTCAAAAAGCTGGGCATTGTGCAAGTTCGAGAAATAGAACAGATATGCAAAACAGTCTCTGCCCACTCAAATTTTAATTAATTTAATTTTAATAAACAGAAAGACATAAATACAAATATGTGCAAGGGAAATACCAAGTGATTTGTTAGAGATGAGCAGTGTTGGAGGATGTTAGCAAAGAGTGGGATCAAGATGGACCTCATATTGGAGAAAGTACATTTTCCAGCCTTGAAGGCAATGAGAGATTCTGGGAGGTGAGGAAGGAATATATTCCAAAAGGGACAGAAGTCTATGCAAAGACACAAAGAACAAGCAAGCAGCCCAGTTTGGCCAGAACATGGGGTGTGTGAATAAGAGAAATGGACCATGAGCCTGGAAGGGTAGGCTGGGGCCAGGTGGTGAAGAGCTTTGAGTGATAACAGGAATTTTATCCTAGAGATAATTGGGAATCACTAGAATTTATTGAGCAAGAGAATGACATGGCCACACATATATTTTAAGAATATCAGTTTGACAGCTGTGTGGAGGATGGACTGGGGAGGGGAGAGACTATTAGGAAACATATCAATCCAGGTCAAAGGTGATGAACACTTGAACCATGGTAGTAGTCATACAACTCACCCTGCCCCCGATAGCCAATAGGCATCATAGGAGTAAACTAAACAGAGTAATTTCACATCCTTTAAAACTGAATTGCTTTTTGCCATAACTACATTGTTAAGCTTCTAATAAAAATAAGAGTCTGCATGAACAGGGACCATGTTTCTATATATTCCCAAAAGGTGGAACAAGGAACAGTGGGGCCAGGTTTCCATTCCAAATACAAAAGAGCATCCAACTCACCAGAACCGACCCATAATGCTCTAGTAGGTATCGAGGTTTCCTCCCCTAGAGATAGCCAAAGAAAGGCTGTGTAGCCACATGTCAAAGAAGTTAGAGGGGGCATTCTTTCATCGGATGGGAGATGAGATTGGATGACCTTTAAGGTCCTTCCAAGATTCCGTAATTCAGGGAACAGCTGTAAAAGCTATACATGATTTACAACATACTCAATTTATGAAAATCAGATATTCAGAATGATCAATGGTGGAATTATTTCCTTTATAAAAACCTCTTTGCCTTAAATAAGATTCCCAGTGCTTATAAAATGAGATCTGGATGAGAAAAATAGATTTATATACATTTTTGAGGAATACATCTATTTCCTAAATCAAGGCATACCTGTAATAGTAATAGTCATGATAATAATAATTGTTATAACAATAAATGTTAGATGTATTGGATGACTAGTTTGCCAAGGCTTGGAGAGAGTCTGGATGTTTGGTAAAAGAAACACTTGTGTGCCGAGCATCATAAGGCTTGATCCACAGCAGAAGCAGTGGACCAGAACAAAGAGACTTGGAGTCTTTGCCAGGCCTTTCTGTGTGAACTGGAGGAAACTATTCTGCCTCTCTGGGCTCCAGAGTTCTTTGGAAATGTGGGGAATGAACTCTGTGGGCTACTTTGGAAGCTTTAGCGTCCTGTGAACTTTCCTCTGATTTTGTTATGATGATTCCTTTTTCCTTTTCTTTCCTCCAGAATCTGTGGATAATTGTCCAAGCAACTGCTATGGGAATGGAGATTGTGTTGCTGGGACCTGCCATTGTTTCCTTGGTTTCCTGGGTCCAGACTGCGGCAGAGGTGAGGACTGGCTATATTTTGATGGTCTATTCCCATACGCCCCAAGCAGGGACCAGCTCTAGTTTTGGAGAAAAAAAAAGGTACTAGAGGTTCCCACCTGCCATCTTGACTTTGGGGACAAAATGACCTCATGCCACTTTGAGATTTGGCAGTGGAACTGAAATCCATTGGTTTTGTGGGTCTTGTTTCAAAATGACCCCACATGCCTACTACATTTGGATCAAATGAGATACTATTTGTAAAACACTTATCACAGTGCCTCGCATGTAGTAGGTGCTAATTTGTTCCTTTCCCATTCCCTCTGCTGTAGTCTTTGGGAGCCAAACCTCTGTATTTCCTAGTTAACAGACTGGTGGTAGAGAAAGAGTTTCAGACTGGGAAGGAGGAGAACCACGTCCTTCATTGCCTCAGTTTCTTCCTCTATAAAATGAAGGATTCTGAAAAACTCCTTTTCTGAGTTCCTAGCCCTATATTCTCCATTCCAACATTTTGCGCTGTTTTAAACTTTTTTTTCAATTAACAAAAAATCTTTTTTTTCTCCCTCCTACTCCCCGCCAATTGAAAAACAGGGAGATATAAGGTGTGGCCTCAGGGCTCGTTGTTTTGCCGATCCTGATAAATAAGTAAATGACTGACTGATGTGTATTCACATACAAACATAAACACATATATATGTATACACACATGTATATGTATAAGCATGCACATATACATACACATATATTATTGTTATTCTTCTGTCGACTCTTTGAGACCGATCCCATGAATTTGTCCATTGGGTTTTCCTGGCAAAGATACTGGAATGGTTTGCCATTTCCTTCTCCAGTGTGTCCTCATTTTACAAGATGAGTAACTAAGGCACATAGGGTTTAAGTGACTGCCCAGAGTCACACAGCTAGTAAGTATCTGAAGCCAGATTTGAACTCAGATCTTCCTGATTCAGGCCTGGTGCTTTATCCACTATACCATCGAGAGAGAGAGAATGTGTGTGTTGATAGGTAGATAGAGTTAGATAGATAGAGTTAACAGATCGATAGCAGACAGAGTTAATAGATAGATAACTAGATAGATAAAGTTAACAGATAGGTAGATAGATAGACAGACAGACAGATAGAGTTAACAGATAGATAGACAGACAGACAGACAGATGTACACATGCAGCTTGAGTTGTTGAGAGCCTTAGGGCAGTGTCAGCGTCAAAGGACAAAGCAGAGCGTGTATGGGACATATGGCAAGGGTCGAATTGACAGGACTCGCTAACAGCAGGAGTGTCGTGATTGGAGGGGGGGGGCGTTTGTTCAGTTATTATTTTCAGTGGCTCTCAGGATCATCCATACGTGGGTGAGTAAAGCAAACTGGATTTAGTGCTAGCTGAGGGATACCCCTTGAAAAGCTGCCCCCATCTCACATGAGGCATACAGTTTACTGATCATGTTCCGCGTGATAGGCTTTTGTCAGGAAGCATCAGAGTTCCTCTCTCTCCTGGTGTGGTCTTACCAGCTCATAGTGATTATTCTCTGTCCTTGTAGAGAGAGCGAGCGAGAGCCTGTGGGCCTGTCTGCTCCCTATTTTCAGAGCCGGTGGGCCCCATTATTTACTGGATATATGACAACTTGAGTTCACTGTATTAAAAAAATGACAGATGGGGCTGAGACAGAGGTGGTTGTTTTGGGAGTGTTTTTTCACATCCCCCTCCTCTTCCCAGCCCTGCTGCTCCCTGACGTGTGTGTTATGCAGAAGTGAGTGTTCTCTAAGATGTTGCGGATGATAAATACATAATCAGAACAGCTCACACACATTCTTAGGATGTATTTTTGCAGGACATAAAACGCTTTTCCTCACAACAGTCCTCTGAGTTAGGTGATACAGACATGATGAGGAAACTGACGGTAAAGAAGGTCAGGTGATTTGTCCAAAGTCACACAGCCCCTCAGGTCAAGGCTAGTTGAATTCCAAGGCCAGTGAGCCTTCCACTACGCCGTACTGCCTCAAACTGCATCTGTACCAGTGGCTTCCCTGTATTACTATCTCCCCTTCCACTGGCAGTGAGGTAGCACAATGGATAGAGTACTGAACTTGAAGTCAGGAAAACCCTAATTCAAATCTTGCCTCAGATACTTACCAGCTGTGTGAGTCTGGGCAAGACAATTTACTGCCTCCCTCACTTTCTCCCTCACAAAATGGGGATAATAGTAATAATAAGGGGATTAATAATAATAAGAGTTAATAATAGCTGTTACTTCCTAGGGTCGTTGTGAGGATAAAACGAGATGATGTTTGTGAAAGGCTTTGGAAACTTTATTTAGTCACTTTTTCAGTCCTGTCTGACTCTTCATGACCCCATTTGGGGTTTTCTTGGCGAAGATACAAAAGTGGTTTGCCATTTCCTTCTTCAGCTCATTTCACAGATGAGGAAACTGAGGCAGACATGGTTAAGTGACTGGCTCAGGGCTACACAGCTAGTAAGTGTCAGAGGCCAGATTTGAACTCAGGTCCTCCTGACACCAGGGCCAGTGCTCTATCCCCTGGGCCACCTAGCTGCGACCCCTTTGTTTTACAGAGAGGGAAACCAAGGCCAAAAGAGCTGAAGTGGGATGAACACTGTCTTGGGAGTCAAGCAGCCTGAGCTTTAGCAGGCTCTGCCATTAATGGCATTGAATGGGTAGCGTCCCTTTTTCAGGCCTCAGTTTCATCTTCTATAAAGCACGGGGCCTTGGACGAAGTGAGCCCTCGAGTCCTTTCTGGCTCTCCAACTCTGGGTTATTCCTGTGGTTTTTACTCCCGTGGTCTGAAACGGGCTTTCAGAGATGCCCGAGCAGGCCGGCCTGGGGAAGCAATGTCATTACCAGCTGTGAGTGCTTAAAAGAGGAAGGTTGGGGAGGAGGAAGGATGTGTCGGGAGTGGAGAAGAGTCATTTCTTATGACAAGAATTACTGTCTCATCCCATATGTACTTAAAGTTAAGAGTCCTGTATAAAACGGCCTTATTCTATCAAGGCAAGAATAGTGGGCACTTTGAGCGCAATGCAATATCATTTATTTTTATGTAGTGTCCTCTGTCCAGATTATCACAAAACCCTTTGGAGTACGAGGTAGAATGGAGAGAGAGTACGCTGAAGAGCTGAGTTGGGTACAGCTCCTCTTACAAGGGGAAGTGATGGATGGCATTTGCACGGAAGAGTGAAGGGAAGGGAGCCGGGGGAGTGGGCACTGCTGAAGGCTTGGTGTGATGGAGAAGCACTAATAACAATACAAATGTCTCGAATTAATATAGTGCTTTCAAGTTTACAGAGCATTTTCCTCACTATAATCCTCAGAAATAAGTCGTTGTAAGTATTATTACCCCCATTTTACAGATGAGGAACCTGAGGCTGAGAGATTTGGTCTTGAGAGAGACCTTGCAGCCCATCCAGTCCGATCCTCTGATTTTACAAAGACTACTCAGGTTATACACATCCAAGGTGGAATTTGAACCCTGTTCCCTTACTTGCAGAGCCAGTGTTCTTCCACTGTCCTTATCTGAGGATGATGACGATAACAACAGCAATAGCATTCATGGAGCACTTTAAGGGTTGAAAAGTGCTTCATAAACATTATCTCGTTTGGTCCTCACAACATCGCTGGGAGATAGGCACTGTTCTTATCCCCATTTTACAGATGAGGAAATAGGCTGAGAGAAGTGGCTTGTCTCATATCACACAGATAGTTAATGTCCAAGGCAGAAGCTGAACTCGGGTCTTCATGACTCCAACGCCAGGCATCTCTCCACCACTCCAGCCTATCGAGTGATTCCTGGCTGTTAAGAGGGCATGACTGTTCTCTCTTCACAGCTGCCTCCACTTGGAGAGGGCAGAGTCACCAAAGTGACACAACCATGGCCACGCAGCTGGTAAGGTGAGCAAGGCTGTGAACACAGGTCTACTGACTAGAGCCCAACGCCAGGAGGTAGTGTTGTACTGGGAGACCAGGACATTCCCTACGATGCCAGGACTCCAACCCTACTTGGAATAATCCAGCAAAATTCAGACCTGAGTTCAAATCCAACCTTGGACCAGTTCTGTAATCCTGGGCAAGTCACTTAACCCCTGTTTGCCTCAGTTTTCTCATCTCTAAAATGGAGATAATAATATTGCCTACCTTCCAGGGTTATGGTGAGGATCAGATGAGATAATAATTGTTAAATGCTTAGCACAGTGCCTGGCACAGAGTAGGCACGTATTCTATCCATCCCTTTTTTCCTTCCCACTCTGTGATTTTAGTTTAAAGGGTAGGATGTTCCTAGTACAGAATATGTTCCACCAAAGTTACAAGATGGGAGATTCCACTAGCCTGGGAGCTCTCCTGGGGCAAACAGCAAGGAAATGAGCAACAGTTACTTTGAAAACCAGGTGGGCCTGGAAGAAAGTCATTCTTCTTTCACAGAGTTTAGAGGGCCGCCCTTGAGGGCCTGGAGGCTCCCATGTGGCCTCGAGGCTGCAGGTTCCCCACCCCTGGGCTCGGTCCTGTTCCTTTCTCCATCAGTGCCAATGCGTCCTGATTTGGAGCAAGTCACAGTAACTCTCATTTCTTTGTTGGAGAAGTTGGTAATGCCAACCACCCCCTTCCTTCTTCCTTTTCTCACAATGAGGGATTGAGTATCAACAAGGTCACTTTTGTCCATGTAGTTAAGATGCTCTGAGACATCCTCAGAGACAGGAACCAGTCAGATGGGCAGTTACTAGCTCCAAGGGAAGTGTGGCTTAGTGACTAGAGAACTAGCCCTGGAGTCGGAAAGACCTGGGTTCACATCCCTCTTCTAGCACATACTGGCTGTGAAACACTGAGCAGATCACCACTTCTCAGTGTCCCTGGCCACTCTTTAAGACAGAAAGTGACAGGACAAGGAACCAGTCTGCTAGTGCCCTGCCTCCTTTCCTCCCTTACTACACTGTATTTAGCTATTTGATATTTATTCTCTTGATATTTTTGTTGTGTGTATATACATGCATGCACTTGTGAATGTATATATGCATTTGTATGGGGGTATATACATCATATGTGTTTATGTGTATATGTACACATACATGTACAAAATATACATACACTGTGTGCATATATGCATTACAATCTGAGTGTGTACTTCTATATGTGTATGTACTTCTATAAATGTATGTACATGTATGCATGCACACAGCACACACATGTATGTAGATTTGGGTGTATATAGACATGTGTTGACAGGCTATACATGTGTGTACACAGGTGTATATGCGTGCACATAATGCATGTGTGCACAATACAGATATATGTGTGTATAGTACATACACATACACACACTTGCTATCCTCATTAGAATGTACATTCTTTAAGGACAGGGACTATTTCGTTTTGTACTTGTGTCTGGCACATAGTAGGAGCTTAATAAATATTTGTTGAGTGATTGATTGATACTCTACTCTCTCTAGTATCAGAATTATTTGTGAACATGTTGAGAATTTCCGCTTCTTCCTCCTCCTCCCACTTCCCCCCATCCTGTCCCCATTAGGTTATTGATCCTTTAGGGTAGGAACTATGCTGTCTGTTCATTGGTGTGTCTTCAGTGTCAAGGATGGTGTCTTGCACGTTGTGTGAGCTTAATAAATAGCTGGTGAATTACTACTGAACTGAAATGTGCAGGAAGCCGGCTGGGCTTTGGAGTGAGAGGGGCCTGTTTTCTGAGGGTCGGGGACATAGCAGGGAGGGTGAAAGGGATGGTATCGGAGAGACATAGAAAGGGGCCATGGGATGTGGTAGTTAAAAGGATGACACGTTGAGTGTCTGAATAAGTGCTTTGAAGTAGAAAAAGGGACCAGATATTAAAGCACTAAGGTAGTATTCCCTCGGGTTCGCAGCCTCTTTGCAGAGGAGGGGGACACGAAAAAGCAGAAGAACAAATTGTGAGGCAGATGAGGTAAGAGTATAAATAACAGCTCACCTTCCCTCTAGGAGCACTCTACTGTTGACAGCATGTCTGTCTCACAAAAGCCATGCAAGGTAGGGACTGCAAGTTTTATGATGCCCATTTGACAGAAGAGGAGACTGAGGCTCTGAGAGGTGAGATGACTTGATCACAGCTATGCATCCAGTCAATGGCAAGCCAGGGCTAGAACCCAGTCTTCCTGACTTCAGTGCTCTCTCCAAGGTGCTGACTCTTCCTTGCTGGGAGGTGGCCTTAAGTAAGCTGCAGATGAGTTGTGGCAGGGAGAAGATGCCAGAAGACAGAATCAAAAGCAGAGTTCATGGTGGGGGGAGGGGTCAGCCGACTTGAAGAAAGGCAGACTAATACTAGGATGAAATAAGGGGATGGAGAAAGGGATAGTATTTATGAATAAGCAAGGAAAGAAATTACAAAACCAGGCAAGCTAGGAGGAGAAAGGGACAAAAGATAATGGTTTAGTCATATATTTAGTTTCTTTATAGTATTTGAAGGGTTGTCTTACGAGAAAACAATGTGACCGGAGGATAGAACATTGGAGCATTAGGAGGAAGCTGCCCAGAAGCCAATTTCAGCCTCATGTAAAGATTTCTACCAATGATAGTTGTCCAAAAGTAGATTGGGCTTCCTTGGGGGGAAGTGTTGTGCCAGCCACTGGAGGCTGGAATACCACCCTGGGGAGGGTGTGGAGGGACCTGTTGTTCAGGGGTGGCTCTGAGGAGATACCCTCTTAGAGCCCTTTCCACTGGACTCTTTGGGGCCTGGGAAAGCAAGTCCTGAATTTATTGTATGTTCCTCATTAATGTTCCTCCACAGCCTCCTGCCCTGTACTTTGCAGCGGAAATGGACAGTACATGAAAGGGAGGTGTCTGTGCCACAGCGGCTGGAAAGGCGCTGAGTGCGATGTGCCCACCAACCAGTGCATTGATGTGGCCTGCAGCAACCGTGGCACATGCATCATGGGGACCTGCATTTGCAATCCAGGCTACAAGGGAGAGAGCTGTGAAGAAGGTAATGGCCCCTCGGATAGAACCCTGTATCTCCTCATTACTCTTGGAGTGATCTATGACCCTTGTATAACTACACTCACTTGAATTATGTTCTTCCATTAATATCAGTAAGTCAGATCTGAAACTCGGAGAGCAGAATGAAAACTGAGCTTATGGGAACTGGCCGATGATGGCGCCCACTGAAGGGACCATTAGATTCTCCATATTCTAGGTTTAGAGTTTTGGCCTCCACTCTGACTTCTGACCATGAGAAGGGAGAATCTTAGAATTGATGGGGACCACAAAGAGCAAAGACTCAAATCTCCTACTCAGCAAATAAATCATTTCTACATCACCCCTGAAAGGGGGACATTCATTGTCTACTTAAATACCTGCCTGAACTGATAGCATGATCTGTTGATAAGGGGATGGCATTTGGAATCAAGAATACCTGGATCCAACAACTGGCTTTGCTATGTACTGCCATGGTCAGGTCAGTGTTTCTGGGCCTCCATTCCTTAATCTACAAATGAAGGGCTAAGATGAGGTCTGAGGTTCCCTATTCAGCTCATGATCTCCATCAGTGGGGCTCACTGATTTCACTGGACTGACTTTTCATGATTGAGCTAACATCTGCTTTCCCTCAGTTGTTGTTCAGTCATTTCAGTCCTGTCTGACTCTTTGTGATTCTATTTGGGGTGTTCTTAGCAAAGATACTGAAGTGGTTTGCCATTTCCTTCTCCAGCTCATTTTACAGATGAGGAAACCGAGGCAAAGAGGGTTAAGGGACTAGCCCAGAGTCACACAACTAGTAAGTGTCTGAGGCCAGATTTAAACTCAGGAAGATGAATCTTCCGGATTCCAAGCCCAGCGCTCTCTCTACGGCACCACCTAGCTGCCCTCTAGCTTCTATGTATTGATCTAGTTCTCTCCACAAGGGTCCAACAGAACAAGGCTAATCCTCCTGCCTCATTACAATCCTTTAGATATTTGAAGACAGTGATTATACTGTCCCTGAGTCTTCTCCATTCTAAATTGATAGGATAAGTGAATAGTAATGGTCTAAATGTTTGTGTAATATAGTGGATAAAGTGCTGGACTTGGAGTCAGGAAGGTGGGTTCAGATCTTACATGTGACACATGAGTGTGTGACAGCCAGGTGACTATGGGCAAGTCACTTCACATCTATCTCTGAGCCTCAGTTTCCTCATCTGTAAATTAGGGATAATGATAATGCCTCTAGTACTTATATCACCAGCTTGTTTGTGCTGAGGCCTAAGTGAAATCATGGATATCAAACACTTAAGACAACTGAAAACATAAAGATGTGAAAAACTATGATTATTATTGGCACCTATATGAGAAGGCCAGCCTCAAAACCAGGAAGACCTGGGCTCAGGCCCGGCCTCTGACACATGCTGGCTGTGTGACTCTGGACAAGCCACTTCATCTTTCAGTGTCAAACAGCTCTTCCAGAATTGTAGCCTCCAGAGAAGGTGCCAGCCCGCACTGTGAATGGGAGTCTCCTCAGCCAGGAGTTCACTAAACTCTCTGGGCTAAAACACAGATTCCAAGTATTATTGGGCCTGTGTCTTTTGGGGTGCATTAGCTTCATTTGGAATCCCAGGTGAGCATCTGATGAAAGTGCATGGATGCCTTTTAATCATGAACCCTTTTTTTGTCCAAGACACATGTGGAGGGAGCCTCTGGGTTGATGGCTTTCATCTGCTTCCTCTAATCACCATGTTCTCTTCAGGTGGAAACAGTGAGAAGGAAAGAGCCCCAAAGAAAACAAGATTCCCACTGGAGCCCATGGGCCATTTTTACCCCTACCATACTCTTGCCTCTCATAGGCAGGACAAAATTTGTTTTGTCAAAATAAACTAGAACTATACAGTGTGGAAAATTCATGGGATATTTATGGGGGTGGGGGAGAAATCTAATAAAAATTTTTGATTTACATTATTTCTTTGAAAAGAAATGTTTTTCCGTCTTGATTTCTTTTCTGGGAAGGGCCATCTGGTATTGATTCTTTCTATTATTTCTCCATTTCTTTGGTGCAGCTTGGTTGAGTTTTCTTGTTTATAATGGGTTTTCATGTGCAGCTCCCTCTTCCACTGTTCCCCCCTCCCCCATAAGTGAGTTCAACAATGTTTATAAAACATCAGCTAACAAGCTTATGCAGTTTTTGCTTCTCTCTGTTCTGAACTTTACTGCCCCATGTTTTATAAGGCTTGAATGGTGCCAGCAGGACTTTGAGGGGGGATGGGGGACGAGAACAAATTTGGGCCCTCAGCAGTGAAAAATGAGACATCACTCTTGGGGTACTGAATAGGGCCTAATAGCTTATGTGACCAATGGAGCATGAAGCACGTTGGGGAGAGGGTGGTGTTTCTCACTGCATGATTTATCAGAAAAGGCCACAGTGCTGCCAAAGGTGCCAGCTTCCAATGAGCCAGTTTGGAGAGCAGAAACGTGACTATTTGGCACAGCTTCTGTGAGAGAGAGAGACAGAGACAGAGAGAGAGAAAATGAAAGTCACCTCCCAACAGGTCTATCCCACTGAATGGCACCATGAACCCCTGCCCTCTTCGTTTCCTTCCAAGGCTTCTGACAAGGCATAGTTTCATAGAATTCAAGGCTAGAAGGATCATAGAATCATAGGTTGAGCTCTTTGAAGGCAAGGATTGGTTCCTAGGGACTAGCAGAATGCCTGGAACATACTCGGTGCATAATGAATGCTTATTGAATTGAATTAGAAAGCATGTTAGAGATCACCAAATTCAGCCCCTTATCTTACAGGTGATCCTAAAGAGGCTTGATCATTTAACCAAGGTCCCACAAAGTGCAGAGCCAGTTGATTGAAACTCCATTTACTCATAGTCTGGTGTCCTTTCTGGTACCTCCTGATGCTTCTCAAGGGACTTTTGATTACCTAGTCTAGGTCATAGAGGGAAGCTCACATTTCATCCTCACCTGGGGTTGTCTCCTGGGCTGAACCCCGGGAGATTCTAGCCAAGCTTATGCATGTGAGGCTTTAGCATAAAGCTCATTTCAGCATGAAAAAGACCCTGAAGTATATGATAAATAGGGCATTCTGATGCACACACATTCCTGTCCCCCTGCCCATATGCTAACCCTTGGCACTGCAGCAGGGAGACCCCTGAGCTGCCTTCTCTCTAGGTTGAAGTCCCCTTTAAAACTTGACCTTCTCCCAGGTGTCCCCGCCCCACAGTCCACCCCATTGCCAAGTCGACCTTCAGAAGAGATGATTAATCGCCTCGAGGTAACTTCTTGTCAGTAACTTGGTGATCTTTGTTCTCTGCTCAAACCATCTGCTGAGAACATAGGAGGCTGTTTGCTTATTTCCCAGCCCTTTTCATGCTTATTAAGGCTGAGGAAGACCAGGGGCCAGGGCTCTCAGGGCCTCCTGCTCAAATTGGTCTCCTCATTCCCAGCTCACTAATAGTGGAGATTTATAGACTCATCCAACCCAGCATCCCAGGATCCTCAAAGGTTGCTCCTACTGGGAACAGAGGGCCCAGAATTCACAGAAAGACAAATACCTTTGCATACTTCAAGATAGTAATTGCCAAGTTCTTTGCTGTCGAGTTGGATGGCTTACTGAATGCAGGGAATTGACAGAGTAACTTAATGTGCCCAACATTTTCCTTCCTAGGTTCTAGGATCTGAAACTTGTCACTAATCTTTTTTTCTCCCCAAAATTCCCAGAGTGGCCAAGAGGTCATCCTTGAAGAAATGTCATGTTGTGTCTGGGGATAGCCATTAAAAGGATTTTTTGTCTTCTGTGTTTGTTTGGTTTTTTAAAAATTCTCTCCATTGTCCTTTACTTTTCCCTCCATTTTATTTTTCTTTGCTACTTTTCCTCTCCTCCATTCTAAAAGAGTTACCTAGGAATCTCCAGCCTGAATAAGCTGGTGCATTTCTGAGATAGGTACATTGGTTTGGAGTCAGAGGAACTACATGAATCTCAGCATTGCAGTTTAATGTTCCCATGTGATCTTGGACAAAATCACTTCACACATACTGTTGGGCCTCATTTTTGTCACCTATAAAATAAGGGGGGGGGGGTCTGGTTACAAATCTTGTGATAAATTGTGCATACAGATACAAACATATACACACAGAGATGCACTGAATTCTGAGGCCTGTTTCTCACCATGGTCTGGGAGTGACCCTAGATTCTGTAAGATGAGGGGTTTGGACCCCATTGCCTCTAATATCCCTTACATCTCTAAATCTATGATCCTATAGTTCTGTTCTCAAAATGGAGCACACATTTGAGCATTTCTACAGAGCTGGGAAGACGTTGCATGTAGAGATGGTAACGTATTCTATATCTAATGTCCAAGGATCAACCTAACTGAGTTGAAGAATTTCATCACCAGATTGGTGATTAATTTCTTCAGCCACAGCAACTCCCAAAGACCATCTATTAAGTCATAGTGAGGCTATGATCTACCTTGGTAGAGGGCAGTAAAACCACAGAGACCAAATCACAGATTCTTGAAATCTATACCAAAGACTTAAATTTGTTCCCTTGAGTTCTCCCCCATCCCTAAATGTCCTGCTGGCACCATTCAAATCTTAAGAAATAGAAAGTATTAACTTTCCATTAGAAGAGGAAAAAAAAAAGCAAAAATAGTGTTTGGTGGAAGTTGGTGGGGGGGGGGGCAGGATGAGGTATTCTTAGCCAGGTGGTGCAGTGGATAGAGCACTGGACCTGGAGTCAGGAAGACCTGAATTCAAATTCTGTCTCAGACACTTAGTAGACTTATGGCTCTGGCTAAGTTACTTAATTGTTCTCAAACTGTTTCCTCATCTGCAAAATAGGACTAATAACAATTGAAATGACTTAGGTAAAGGGCTTTTTGAGCCTTTAAAGTACTATATAAATGCTAGGTCTTCTTCTTCTTCTTCATAATAATAATAATATCTACCCAGAGAATTAAACTATTGATGTTCTCTTAAATTTTATAATTGAATTTGGAAATAGTAAAGGGAAAAATATGTAATTACCCCTAGCGTCATGGAAATTGCAGTAGAACAAAATACCAAGCATGATAGGTCTTCCGTAAACATCAATAAACCTCCTTATATGTTGCCTCCTATGCTGTTACTCTGTTAGAATGTGAGCTCCTTGAAGGCAGGGGCTGTCTTGCTTTTCTATTTGTATCCCCAGCACTTGGCATGTAGTAAGCACTTAGTAAACGTCATTCATTCGTTCATTCTAAAACCACAGTCCCAGTGCCCGTAAGACAGCCTCTGATAGACCTTTGAGTTGGTAACCTTTCTCCTTTTTCAATGCAGTGGATTGCCTGGATCCCACCTGCTCTGGACGGGGTGTTTGTGTCCGAGGTGAGTGCCACTGCTCCGTTGGCTGGGGAGGAACCAGCTGTGAGACTCCAAGGGCCACATGTTTGGACCAGTGTTCAGGCCACGGCACCTTCCTTCCTGACACGGGACTCTGCAGCTGCGATCCCAATTGGACTGGACATGACTGTTCAATTGGTGAGTGTGAATCTGCCTCGTGGACGGGGAAGGTGGGCTGGGGTCTTTCGAGAGAGGGATTTCAGCTTCCAAGTATAGCACATTGGTAAGACATTAGCACAGCCCCATTCTCAGTGGATTTTCCATGTCTCTTGTTATTCTCCCTCCTCTTGTCTCCCTGCATTCTGACCTTTAGCCCCAAGCCCACCTGCCATGGTGAGGTGAACTTGGGAAATGAAAAGAAGACCTCAGTAGTCTCTCAGAGCAGGTGCAGGAGGAAGAACCATGGGAAGAATCATAGTGCTGGGGTCAGAGAATATGCATTCAAATTCTACCTCTGATAGAGGTCATTTATGGGCCTCAGCTATTTATCTGTAAAATGAGGGGGTTGAACTACTAGATGGTCATTGAGGTTATCTATGATGCTATATAAAGTCCTGTATGGTTCAGCATAATCTGTACCCTCCACAAAATCACAGAAAGCAGTACCCTATACAAAAAGCAGAATTGTTTTATGCTAAGGAGAGAGGGCAGCTGTCTAGACAAGGGCCACCATCACTTCCACTCACTGCTGCTCTCTGTTTCAGAAATAAAAACAGCAGAAGGAGCAGTGCTGTGTTGGTGATCTCTTTATTGAGGTCCCTTCCCTCTGGAATGCCAGGGAAGGTCGGTTACTGCAGAGGGTCCAAATTTTAGGAAACTTTGGCCATGTTTGCTCAGAACTATGGACTCAGGAAAATTCCCATCTCCCACCTAATTCACCTTCTTTCTTCTCCATTATCCATTCTTTGGTATCTCTGGGATCCTATGACACCGGGCCCAGGCCCATGGTAGACAGTGCGTCTGATATATATCTGGTGGAAATTAGCCTGTCTTTGTCTGTGGGCCGAGGAAACCTCAGGGATGAGCTGGCTGTGGCTCAAGGTAGCGGTGAAACCTGGGCTTCTCCAGTTGGTACCATAATGATGGCGGGCTTTTGAAAGCCTTCCTGTGTCTCCTTTGGAGAAGCCACTTCCAGGGAAGAGCAATCCTTGTTCAGAAGAGGTGAAATGTCAGTCACCTCATGTTTGTATTTATTATCTGACAGGCTGTTAAGTGATGTAGAAAGGTCCTTGGGGTATTGTCAGGAGTCCATTGTTAAAGTCTCAGACATTAGTTAGCTAAGTGACCTTCAGCAAGCACGTTTCTCTAGGCCTCAGTTTCCTTATCTGTAGAAGGAGGTTGGTTGGACCAAGCAATTTCCAAGACCCTTTGCAGTTTTAATAGTCTATGCTATAACGTGCCTTCTTCCTCCAGTATTTCATGATTCTGTGGTCTAGAGTCTGGTAAGGGAAAAGGTTGAAAACATTTATTATGGATTCCAGTTGCTGGTCCCCTCCCCTTCTTGACATGGATAGAGAGCCTATAGCCAGCCTCAGACCAGCTTTTATCCTTCTTTGTTAAGCATGTATGAGGATATGATTGCAAACACAGATGTGCGGGGCCACGTAAATAATTCCTTTTATGTTGCTCTGTTTATGGCCTTGTAATAAACAGCCCTCTTAAAGTGGCGTAGACTTGCTCTTGTTCATTATGTAGCGATGAAGCTAATTTATGTCTGGTGTATAGCTGTCTATTGCATTGTTAATCCTTGATGAAGTTACGTAGCTTCCGATGGATGCAGTTATGTTTTTTGTGGGAGATCACTAAGTATTCTTTGCTTGGCCTCATAAAAGGAGACAACACAGCCATTAGCAGCCGATTGCTTTTAAAGCCCAAGGCCTGTTCTTCTTCAGAGCTGTGGACGCAGATCCCGGTGATGCTCATCAGATGGGTGCATGTTGGCTTATATGAAAATAAAGTCTCGTGCCTAGAAATGGCACTCACTGGGGCCAGGGAAGAGAAGACGTGTTTTGGGAGCACACATCTCACCTCACACAACTATTTCCAGCGTTGTCTTGTGTAAGCCCATGCAAATGTGTCCAGTCTTGCCTGACAGTAATGAGCAGGAGGTTGGACCAGAGGATATCACACGGTCCTGTCCTGCTCTAACCCTCAATTGGAATTATGTGAAAATTAGTGCCATTTTCATGTGACCTTATCTCATTTGGTTCTCACAAACCTAGCCTTCAAGGTAGCAGAAGGTAGATCTGAGTTTGACTCCCCTGTCAGCCCCCTATGTCCTGTATGGCCCTGTATAAACCATTTAACTTTCCTACGCCTTAGTTTTTTCATCTGTAAAATGGATAGGTTGGACCCCATGACCTCTGAGGTCTGTTCAGGTCCTCAGTCTGTGATCCTGTATCATCTTCTGTATTTAAACAGAAGAGAAAACAGTCTTGAGAGGTGACATTGCTTGCCAAAGGTAGCAGTTATGCCTGACATTTCTTTTCCAGCCTCCTGTTGTATTATTCCCTTTCATAGACCTTTCTCTCTCTCTCTCAGCCAATAGGCCTAACAGTTATTCCCTAAACTTGGCATCTCTCATTGAGCTTCAGGGGGTTTGCACAGGCCTTGAATGTACTGTATTCCCTTCTGCCCTCTGACCTTTAGAAGTCCTAGCTTCCTTCGAAGCGCAGCCCATGTTCCTCTACCTACAAGAAGTCTTTCGTGATTACCCCAGCTGCCAGTGTCCCTCTTCCCACCCCCCAAATAACTTTCTACTCACTTTGTATATATTTTCATTTATTCTTATGGGTAAGTGTTATTTCCCATCCACAGCCCCCCATAAAATGTTGTTGTTCATCCTTCATTCTCGAAGAGGACCAATGACATCACCAGGGTGATGTTTTGATTAGTGTATACCTTGTGTATACTCACACACACATATATATATCCTTACATATGTACCCATATACCCATATCTATAAAGATATAGATATATCCAGTCCTCCCCTCTCTCGAGCACCAATCTCACACTACCAACTTCCCTTTGGATATCTCAACCTGTTCTATAGGCATCTCAAAATCAGCATGTCCAAAATAGAATTCAACATCTTTCCCTCTAAAACCTCCCCTTTTCCCAACTTTCTATTACGTTCCCGGGTACCAGCGTCCTCTCACTTCCCCAGGTTTATAGCATCATGGTTACCTTTGATCCTCATTCACTCGTATCCACCCACACAACCAGTGTATTGCCAGTGCTTGTTGTTTGTACCTTCACATCATCTCTTCACTGGTTGCCCTCTTTTGTACTCACAGACAAGTTCAGCCTTCCTCACCTCATGCCAGAACTATTGCACCAGCTTGCTGGTTGGTCCCTTTGCCTGTCTCCACTCCAATCCATCCTTGATTCGTTTGCCGAATTGATTTTCCTAAAGCACAGCTCTGACACATCATTCCTGTATTCAGCAAACTCCAATGGATACCCATTAGCTTCTGGATCAAATAGCTAATGCTCTATTCGACTTGTAAAGCCCTCCACAACCTGGCTCCTTTCTGCCTTTTCCATCTTCTCATACCTTATTCTCCTCCATGTGCTCTTCAGTCCAGTGAAATTGGCCTCTTCCTGTTGCTCAGGCACAACACGCCATCTCCCAACTCAGTTCCTTTTCCTAGCTTCCCCCAGACATGCCAGGAATACTCTCCTTCCTCATCTGTATCTCCTGACTTCCTAGGCACTTGGCTACCTTATCGTAAGCATGGTGTCCAAAGGGAGAATACTCTCATTTTGATGTGAAAACTACACTATCCACAGGCAGAAAGAACCCAAATCTGGAAGTCGGGTTCCTATTCCTTTGAGGCTACTTACTGGGTAGCCTAGAGCAGCTCAGTGGCACAATGGATAGAACACTGGGACTGCAGTAGGACAATATGAGTTCAAATCCAGTTTCAGATACTTACTAGCTATGTGACTGTAAGCAAGTCACTTAAGCCTTTTTGGTTCAATTTCCTCATCTGCAAAATGAACTGGAGAAGGAAATAGCAAATTGCTCCACTATCTTTGCCAAAAGAAAATGGGGTCATGAAGAGTCGGACACGACTGAAACACTCAAAAACTGGGTAGCTGTGGGCCCAAGTAACACATGTAAATTGAAGATGAGAATAAGGGTCCTATCACCTACCTATAATCACACTATTATAACCTCAATGCCAGGTTCATGGTGTGCTCTTACTATTATTTACTGAATTCTAGTTGCAAGTTTAAATGCACCTCAAACCACTTAGGTTCAGTAACAAGAAGCCAAAAGAGAAGTGCTTAGTGGTCCATCGACAGCGTGGCCTTGAAGCTGTGGCTTCTCCCGTTGGCAGAACCGCTCACAGACTGTCTTATCCCCATACAGAAGTAAGCTCCCTTTTCATTGAGCAAAGCGGAGTGCCTTTTGGCACAGAGAATGAGGCTTAATGAAACCATCCTGAATCAACGCACCCTGCATTAAACAGCAGAACCCAGTAATAAAATGTGAGCTAATGTGTTTACCGAGTGCCTGGGTTTGCTTGGTTGAGACAGAGAAGTTGGATTTTTAATACAAGTGTGTCCTCTGTTTCTCGCTCCTTGGCTTCCAAATCCTCTTCAGAAGCCCTTCTCATTGGGGAAGCCTTTTTGACTGGCTGCAGGGCTAAGACTGGCTTTCTTCAGGGGCATGTTTCATTAGGAGTTGAGTTCATTCATCTTTGAAGCCCTTACCTGCTCTGGGATTCTAGGAATCAGCCCAAAGAAGGCCTCAGGAACACCCGCCCACATGACAGACTGCCCCCAGTTCTAGCCAGTACCAGCAGCAACCATTGCCACCCAAAAAATCAGTGCTACTGTTTAGGAATGATGGGTAGAAGATAGAGAAAAGAACATGTAGCTTTGATGTCAGGAAAACTTCCTAATTAGTGCTGTTTCAGTCTGCAATAAATGGGCTGCCTCAGAAAGTAGAGCATTCTCTTTTCACTAAAAGTCTTTGGGGTTTTTTTTTTTTAAAAGGCCAATTATCTTATAGTCATTTTATATTTATAGAGGTTTTACTGTTTCTTCCCAACCACCGCCTCCCTTAGAATTAAAGCTCACTGAAAGCAACAACTATTTGACTTTTGTCTGTATATCTCCAGCACAC